GGGGGGGGGGGGGGGGGGGGTTGATTAATCAAGGGACTACATTAAAGGATCGAACAAGTTATTAGTGGAGAGGGGAGGACTATTAGGTGTTGATGAGGCCTGGGCAATTAGGGTTTCGGGTGGCACGAACTCTTCAGGCTCCTCCTCCACAGGGGCTGGTTCACCTTGGTCTGCAAGATTAGGGGCGTTCGCACTGGCCGAAGTCGTCTCCTCTGGGACCGGATGGTCTTTGTCAGGGGAGGAATGCATTTGGGTATCACCTAACGAATGCTCGTCCACAGGGGCCGGATGGCCTTCGGCTGTGGGGCTATCGAAGGGGATGGCCTCAGGGTCGTCCAAAACCTCTTGGTCTGTCGGACCAGCGAAGGGTTCTTCAAGCTCAAGGTCTCTGTCCTCGTGTTCCATCACGGAAGGAGGGAAGATGGTCGGACCAGAGCCTGCACTGGATGCTGCTCCTGCCCATCTCGAGCTATTCGAACCCGCGCCTGCGGCAGCGGCTGGTGGGTCTTGATTGTCGACGAACAAGTTCAAAGCGTCTACGGCTCGTGATCCGAGTTCCGACAAGGACGTCACCTCAACCTCTGCCTCACTCCTGCCAGTTCCCGACAAATCCGCGCTTGGAGCAGCGGCTTGCGTGGCGACTGCTGGCGGGGATCTTGTGCCGGGGTTGGGGCCTACACTTGGTCCTACCGACGAATCCGCGCCAGAGGCTGCGGCTTGCGCAGGCTCAGAGCGTGGAGATCGAGGGGGTGTGACCCTTGGCATTGGATCTAAGGGAGGCGGACTATTAGAGCTCGTAGGTTGGTTAGACCTACGGCTGATAACCAATGAAAGTGACAAGGGTTCAGGGATATCCACAGGGAACAGCCACCACAGTTGCCTAAGGGGCAAATGGGATGAGAGGTAACCTATAGTGCGGAGAACCCTGAGGAAACCAGGTACGCAGCGGCGAGCCCCGGAAGGTCGGGCCCCCGTTGTGTACCAGGTGTGGGGTGTGTACGAAGGAGCACCTACGGCAGCCTAAGAACACACAACACGAATTGCGCGAAAGCGAAATGCACCGGCACGGGCGAGCGAACGCGAGCGACGTGACGGACGCTGAAAACAAGCGGAACGCCCGTTTTCTTGAGCCAAACGCACGGTCGGTGTGAAACGTGTAAAGGTTTCTACCGACCTAGCTAAACATGACTGTTCATACAAAACCGCATGACAAGTTAGGGGTTAATCCTGGTTCTTAAATTTCGACTATTATATAGTGTAGTTATATATATATATATATTGGTTACGGATGAGATAGGATTTTACGGACCATGTTTTGGAATACACCAGGACTGCACACATGAGATAGGACTAGGTCGTCATCAAGAATCCTGGGACACATGAGATTGAAAAGGGTGTGTTCACTGACCCCTGCTTTTTCGGCCTATCTCATGTGTCCGCATTGCCAAGAATGCAGTGAACAATTGGGGAAACTAAGCTGGATTAATTTTTCTCACATGGACTCAAACAATGCCAAGTAAGCCTTCCAACTCTCCATATCAAATGTTGCTTGTAAACCAAAACCGCAGTCAATCCTGTTTGAAACTCCAGTGCTTTCAAGCGTTTTGTCAGCTGACTATGCTGCAGGATGTCATGCAACCACCTCATTCAGATCCTGTCTCATGTGGCTAGGCAACCTCCAGCGGGCTTAATGTAAAGATCCCAGTGAACGCTCCAATGTAAACTTGTTTTGGGGCCCACAAGTGGCCCCAGACCACATGAGATAGGAAAGTGTATGGACACTTTTTTGCTATGTTTTGGGCACATGAGATGTGCCAACCTCAACCGGTGCATACGTTTCACTACTCCCATCTCATTAGCATCTAGTATATAATATGTCTACTTTGCTCCAACTTTGGGGGCGAGGTTGGAACTTTCACTTGCAAAATTAAGCTTGTGCAGCCAAGCTGCACCTCGCCAATCCTACAACCTTAGCGGACCGCACAAGCACAGGCATTCCCCGCAGTGAGAACTCAACAAGAAAATACGATGCTACAATTACAAGCATCCAATGCCGCGTGAGCACAAATTGCTGTCGGTCACTTGCAGGGATGTTCCGCGCCGAGACAATTTTGACCTCGAGCAGATATCTCACAAGAGACCTTGGCAAAACCGAAAAGCAAAAGGTCACAGCCAACATTGTGAAATCAGCCACATGAACCTTAAGGCCGCTACTCGTCTTGCACACCATCTCGCACCTGGATTATCCAACTGGTTCGTGGAAGGGCTTAAAAATCTAGCGGTAGTCCGAACATTACATGTGTTGTTGTTTCGATGCTTGACAGCAGGGGTGTTTGTGCCCACATATGCACGTAGGCCAAAGAAAATGGAAGTCGGCCTTCTACCAACAACAAATTGGGGTGGTCACCGTTCACAAGTCGCCCATATGCAATGCAAAGCGTGATCACGCAAGATCCAATTGGCAACTTCAGTTAACCTGTATATATATATATACATACAACCGCTATTGTTGGGTTTGGGTTGCTAAGCCTAAGCATTGGCAAGGGCATACTCTTGCTCGGTGACGTAGGAATGCTGAACAGCTGGCATGTTGAGCATATATTGGAATACTATTATCTCCTTCCAAGCGGCCTCGGTCAAAATACTAGTAACCAAGGGTTCTTCTGTAAAGCGCTGCCCACGGAAAACATGCCACGGTTCTTTTTGCTCCTTCACGTAGAAACATGTCTATATTTGGATATGGTACCTGCGATGTCTATATAATATATACATATTGTTTCTTGGACGAACCTAATGATTCCGATTCCCATCTGACAACATGTCTTGGACACGTCTACGTCTATATATATATATGCCCATACCCTTCGCGAAAAAGACTGCGTAGTGCGAAGGGTTCTTCAGTGGAAAACGAATTGAATGTATATAACCCAATTATGCCAGCATCGACCCCAAACAGAAGCGACAGTTTCATGTTTTATTTTGCCAATGTGGCTGGCAGTTGCAGCTCCCATCCCGGCCACTTAAACCAGTTAAATGCATAACTGTCAAGCCAGGCCATTCCCAATTCCAAAAATCAAAGATTTGGACAAGAAGGAGACAAAACAAAGTTGCCTGAGCCCAGCATCCATGGGAGGCAATGGGAGGCAAAAGGGTGCAAAAAAAAAAAGCAAAAAACATGCCCCGGATCGCTTCTATGCAAGAATTGGGGGCCCCCCACCAGCAGCAAGGCAAGCCAATGCACAACTCTATTTCCAGCGGGAAGACTCAGGCGGGCACCAAGTGTCCAAGCAGAAATGCCCAAAACATACACCCAGCATAGGCGCGGCGCATTTCCCCTACCCAAAGCATGCTGCAGGGTGACAAAAGAAACTTAACCGTGGGCCCTGAAGTAAAGCACAGTCCACCTGTGGCAACACCCGAAACCGTCAACCCGTAAGCGCCCCAGTCCCCCTTAAATGGACGCTGCTCCACTGCATGGGCCCCTCACAGCAAAGCTGTTTGGGGAAGAAAGGAAAATAAAGGTGGACAACATGAGACAATGATAGACAATGATAGACTCATAGACAATGCAAAATCATGTCAGCCCAGCAGCCACCAGAGCCATGGGAGACAAAGGGAAAAAAAACAAAATCATCTGAGCCCAGCATCCAGAAATCACCCAGGACCCTTTCTATGCAAGGATTGAGAACCGCTCACGGCAAAGCTGACGGAAAGTCATGTATCACATGTCATATACATTATACGACGTACCTTGTTCAACTCTGTCATATATGATATACATCCCTGCGGGGCTTAACCGGTCCCTCTTTTCTATGAAAAAATGTAAAGAAACACCGCGCACACCATTCATTTTGGAGTTCAGTCTGTTGTCATCTGTTGCTTGAATTATGAAGTGAAAATGCTCGAAACCTGCGTTTTGAGTGCCAAAGCTTTGCGCCACACGACGTTTGTCTTCTGAACATCTTGGCAAACAATGTCTGCCCTGTTCTTTGGAGCAAGTTATATACGTATTTTTGGACGCATCGCCATTGGAATTGACGAGTGCAGTGGAGAGGCAAGGGACTCACTTTCTATCAAGGAGTCTAAATACAACGCATCCACAAGAAAGAAAGGGGCCAAGACTGGGTAGTTCTTTAACAAGAAAAACGACCAGACAAACGAATGAGCAAAACCAACACAAGCGACAAAACCAGGGGGTCATCCTCCGACATTCGACGCAAAACTGCGAAACGTGTGTCGTCAGTCCAACGAACGTTATTGCCCCCCACCCACCCCCAAAAACACCGAAGCCCTTCGATTGAAGCGATAACCGATAATATATATATATATGTAATATTATATAGGTGTGTTTAACAAGTAAAGCTATTAGTGTGGGATCTGACAGCATGCAACGTGTACGGAAAATTCATGGAAAATGGGGGCCGGTTAAGCCCCCGCTAGCATATACATGGGCGCATGTGACGAGGTACGACACGACATGACACGATATGAAAAAAACATGTCAAATGAATGACAAAACAACATGTGACACGACGCTCATCCACGATGGCATGATATGACACGAGCATGTCTAGGTGCGGTATGAGCCCCCCGGGCGAGTAAAATATGACATGATGTGATATGATCTGATATGACTGCGACATGTCAGGATTCGCTTTCAGCATGACATCGTCACTCTCTAAGGTGGCGGTGGTGGGCAGAGAAAGCTGACAAAGCATAACCCTTCGCAAACATCGCGCCGCCCGGAAGGGCAAACATGAACCGCGCGCAAAAATTTGTGGAGATTCTTGCGCGTGGGATGCACTGGGCGCGCGAAGGCTGGTCGCCTAAGGCGACTTCGCCTGTCAAACGTGCAACAGCATGGCCCTGCGCTCATGAAAGTTGGGACCACGAAACCAAAACCCTTTGCATGATGCGCGAACATGTGTTTCTTCCTGAATTCTGTGGAGCCGTGGGATGGTCTTCCGTCAGCTCGATCTTTTCTTACGGCTTGAGCTCCATTTCTACTCTACCACCTATAAAGTGAGATCACATCGTACAAGCATCCTGTACCTTACTTTGATATGAACTGTTGGGCATGCCAAGACACACTGGAAAAATATGACGTCGTATCAAGTGGTAGGACATCAAGCTTGTCGCGAACATGCCCGAAAAACATTCTAGGCCACTTGGCACAAGAAAGACCAGGTATGTTATCAGCATACGGTTTGACATAGATTGAAATGACCTCCGTGAAATTCATGGGATTCTACCACAAGCCTGGCGATAGAATGTACATGGTGTGCAGTGACGCGGCCTCATTTGATGTACAAATATATGGATGACACATCAGCACTCCTTCACTACAGCCCGAGCCGTGCCAAGTGGCTTGCATGCCTCCGCTGACCCACGTGTAAAGCAAAGTCTTGTTTGGCATCAAAAGATGTAGCCGGAAGCCAAAGCTACACGTGCATACCGCTGAAATTCACTGAGCCCGGGCCCTCTGCGAGGTGGCTTCCCACGTGTAAAGCACTTAGCTCTGCTTGGCCCCTTCCATGCGTTCGTCACTGGGCTCAGGGGTAAAGCATGTGTCAGGTAGGAGAAGAGTGCCGTCCGCCAAGCATTTACAGCTGATCCCCTGTTTTTCCGTTCTGATCAGCAGTTGTGGCTCCTCGGCATCACCAACAATGTGGGGCCACCACCTTGCACCACACCTGTATGAAACTATAACGGCTTCCATCCACAAGGTCGCACCCTTTTCGTGATTTAGAACTTACTGGGCACCCCTCCGGGATCAGTTTCTCCATGGGCCCACGTTGGGATTGAAATGTAGCACATACCACCACCAGTCTCTGAGGCGTCCGATCTTTGCAGGTAAATCACAAGCGTCAGCGGAAGAGGACTCGTGAACCATGTCATCTCCTGGGCCAACTTGAGACCCTTCAACAAAACCGTAAAGCACTTTCTCGAAGTTGCTAAGTTATGTGTGCTGCCTTGCTGGCGCCACCCTGGAAAGGCTTCGCTGGGCACTTGTTCAAAGCCGCAAACAAACATTCCATGGCCCACCAAATCCTGCATACCTCCAAGTAGATGCCCGCAACCTCCAAGTGTCGCGCCGTCAGGATAGAGAAAATGGAATCTGCGAACTTGTTCCGTCAGACAGGTGCGAGGCCTACGACGGACGGCGCCTATCAACACACTGCCCGAAAGTGCTCAAAACACCGACTGGCGCAGCGCAAAGCGATCACTTCTCGAAAGGCCTGCTTGGCGCTCAGCCCCTCCTGTCTTGTCAACTCAGACTTTTCCCGCGCCAATGCTGCTGAACCCAGTCTTGCACACTACCGTCAGCAAAAGCAACCATGGTTCACAGCAGCGGCTAGAAGTGCTGCAGAAGAAGATCAATGCATTAAAATAAACGTCCTCTGTGCAAACGGCGAGCAAGCATATTGTATATATATACATATTTATCTATATAGCATAGAATCCCTCTTCTGTCGATTCCCTCCAGTAGTCCAGTAGCATGGAATCATCCTGCGCGATGGTTCCATGAAATCGGAATCCTGAAAGTCCCCAAACCACCCACGATGCACGAATGGTGACCAGTCCAGCAGCACAGTTACTCGATTGAATGAAACGCACACTGACCCTCAGTTGAAGCCCAAAACTTGAGGGACACATGTAAGTGAACCGTGCGCACGCCTGAGCACACTCATGTTTTTGTGGGTACAATCTTATGCGTCTCATCTTCCTTGCTTACAAGTTCTTCGTTCTGTCCTTTGCGGCCTGATCGATCTCCCTGCGCACAGCATCAGCATCTGCGCTCTAGCGGTGCAAGCTAAGATTCCATGCATGCGAAACAAATGCAAGACTGACAGCAACACTGCATGTTTCAATCAACTTTTGCAAATGACTGGGACAATACTTCTACGCGTGGTAAGATTAACATGGAGCCTGAAAATGGACCTTGGGAAGACTAGTTCCCTCCACAAACCAGTGGTTTTCAAGTTCCTTTGTTTGTTCCCCGGCGTGTGTGTATATAGTACACATGTCACATATCTATATACACATATGGATTTCGACTTTCCACTTTCAGGAAAAAGGGCACATGTTCGCTCTGAATGATAAAAATAAGCGAACGTTCAGCAAATGCTACATGCAAAGAGTCTGGAAGGAAGTTAAGTTGAAAAAAAGGTAAGGGCGTCTTTGGTAATATGTTTTCGGGGGCCCTTGGTAAAGTGTTTGCCTTGATTGTTCTCTT